GACACTCAGAACAAACAGGCAAGTACAAGAGTGAGATACATGCATGGCAGAGGGACAGAGAATGCTTCTGGGCCACACCCCATGGATGCTTCCTCCAAACTTGGGAGATCAGGGAAGCTTCCCAGAAGTGACATTAGTTGAAAACGCGAAGCATTATAAGCAACATGAATAGTAACACCAGCAGAACACCAGGTGGAGTCAACTAAATAGTGTACCTAAGTGAGAGTCAATTTCTGAGTCCAGATATGACAAGTGGTTATCTTACCACTGTCCCCCATGTGACCCATGGACTGGCCACAATTCACCCTACATGCTAAGTTCTGTAACAAATTTCAAGTTCCTTTATTTCTAAATATTTCTGCTTTCTCGGAACACAAAGTGTGTTTCACTATCTTTACCAGCAACCCAGCTATGAAGCATTTCAATTCAACCCAACAAGTGCCTATGCAGGAGACAATGTGATAAACATGGGGTGTAGGGAGGGGACCTGGGGACCCAGCGCAAGGACCACATAACCATAGAAGCGCAGAACTGAGAAAAGCCCTGTGACTATCCACTGACCATCCCTACAAACCCTGCCCTACAAACTATGCAGAGGTGATCCAACCCTCCCACTCCTGCTTGTGAAACAAACACCCCCACTCTGGACTTATCTGAGGTTAGATACATTTTTCTGGATCCTGTGTCTGTCTTATTCTAAAGACAGCAGAATGGGCCTTTGACAGCAAGGCCCCTTACCTAACAGTAGGGTCCTTTTCCTATGTCCATTTGAATATGGTACATTTCCTGCCTCCAACGAATACTAACATTAGTTTAAATCATTTCTACATTTCACATCAATGTATAATCACAATGATGGGACCAAAGAAAAATAATCAGTTTTGACCATTTGCTTTTCCAAAAATCACTGGACATTCTACAAGCTAACTGAATAGTTGGATGAAATTACTTTTTAAAAATCTCTTCCAATCCTGAGATTTTATGATTCTATGACATCATTGGAGCCATTCTTCTTTGAGGGCTCTAGCCCAGTAAAATTATTCCAGTCTATGATGTTATTATAGAATAAGTATTGGGTTGGTATTTCAATAATATTTGGTTTTTCAAAGTTACCAAACATAATCTCACCGTCAATGGGTAAAGCTGCAGCTACATGTATAAGTGAACCCAGCCTGGGCCACACTCGGTCATGTGATTTACAACCAAAGACAGAGGGTTCTACTTCAAAAGATAACTGAACATAAAATTTAACTAAACAAGAGAATGCCCTACATGTTGTGGATGGTATGATACTTCACATCTAAGGGTGTAAAATTATTTTGCTATTGCCTGGCCAGTGTGGTTCAGTGGTTGAGCGTCAACCTATAAATCAGGAGGTTGCGATTCAATTCCTGGTCAGGGCATATGCCCAGATTCCAGTGGGAGGCATGCAGGAGGCATCTGATCAGTGATTCTCTCTCATCATTGATGCTTCTATCTCTCTCTCACTCTACATCTCTGAAATCAATGAAAATATAAAATTGATATTAATTAATTAATTTAATTTATTATTTTGCAATCCTTCCCAAACTGAATCTAATTAAGTTTTAAGATCTGAGTACTAGAAAATATCAAAATTGCATTAGTCTTTTAGGCTTTTTTAAATAAGTTTTACAAGCTGTACAGTGCACCTGGGAAGGCACATGAGCATTTCTTAATTATTGTCAGCTGAATCCAGTGGCACTGGCAGACCCACATCCTGGAAACACACCTTGCCAGAGGCAGTAGTGTTGTCAGTTTGACCTTCAGCCCAGGCGCCAGGGGGTGGGTTTCATTATCTAAACCAGTCAAGCACCAGGAATGAATACAACTCGGGCCACCCAAGAATGCACATAATGTCCTTTGTCTTGGGTTTTAGTAAAATTTCCTGATTTTTGCCGTATAAATTAAACAGACTGTATTGGCTTTCGGTCCCTCTCTCTCGATCAGAGGACAGTGTTCCCACCCAATCCCAGCTTTCCCTACTGTATTTGTATCTGTCTCTTCATTTTCTCAATCCCCCGTCGCTCCTACTCAGGAACCAGATCACTCTCTAGCTGCGCTGGACTCAGAAAAGAGAAAAATATTTGTAACAGGCATGTAAAGGAGAGCTATGCTCACCCTCTTGTGCTACACAGCCTCATACATATCTTTGGCACACCATACTTTACGAATCCAAAACAGAAAGCATATTGATAGGATACACATCTCCACAACCAATATCTCAACTTGTAGCTCAAGTGATCATTCAAAACATAAAGAAAAGAAGCCACCTTGCTCAAGTCCTTCACCAGGTGTGCAGTATCCAGGGTATGATTACACCAGAAGTATATTTGCTCTTCTGAGCCAATATTCTCTTCCACTACTCTGGAAAAAATATTATAATTAAGGCTGTTCCTGACAGCAAGCAACTAACCATCTGGGTTCAAACTTTCTAGCTGTGCGACCCTGGCAAATAATTCAACCTCTCTGGGCATTCATTTCCATTGAGGAGGGGGGAGATATGATGATGATTCCACCCTCTCCAGAATGTTGTTGTACTATTTCAATAATTCCCTTACATAAGCTCAGTCTCTAGTTTGCTTTAAACCAGTTGCTTTAAAGAGTTTTGAAAGGGATACTAGAATACAGGAAAATAAACATGGAGAAGCCACTGACTCCTAAAGAGAAAGAGTTTGGAATTGCTATGGCTCCACTGGTTGAGTCACATTTAATTAAGTCTGGAGTTTCCAAGGACAAAAACATATCTTCCCAACACAGAGAGAGAGAGACACACACACACACACACACACACACACACACACGCACACGCACACGCACACGCACACGCTAGTGGGATCAGCGTTGGAGAGTTACTAAGAAGTCGCTCCTGAGGACTGGGGTAACAGTGAATAGGACTCTGTTGAAATGGGAGGGAAGGGGCAGATTCCTCCATCAACTAGAAGCAATTTTTTTACATCATCCTCTCTCTCAATATTTCAGCTCTACTGCTCAGTCTGGGTGAACCAACTCTAAACACTGTATAAACTTGGGAACACTGGGAGACGGGGAGAGAAGTGGAGGCCAGTGTACAGAATGGCCAGTGAGACTGCTACTAATACTAAGTAACTGTGAACATCTCAATGAACCATACTGTGTGCACTTGGGGCTACAGAGTTAACCCCTCCACTTCCCCATGACTGATTCATTGCTGCTATGTTTGGCTAAAACTAAAACTGTCACCCAAGCAACATCAGTCTCATTAGAAGAAGAGGAACAGCCAGCATCAGCAAATACAATGACCCTTTTGAAGGCAGCTGGTTCAGGACCTGTGAATCATTTTGCAATACCCGGACAGGACAAACCACATCAACACTACATCTAAACAAAAAGCATATACACAGCCACCAAAAACAAAGTGATGACTTGTCAGCACTCCAGTTCTTCTTTCCCTAGCAGGCCTACTGGTGATGTACCTAATTAATTTTTAAATCATATTCAGAGTAAGTCTCTGACCTGTCCAATGAAGACCTCAAGTCAGGCCACACCTGCAGATATCACTAACAGTTACTCTCCTAGTGGGTGGGACCTCAGCCCAAAGTACAGAGCGGGAAAGACCCGAGTTGAAGCAGCTGGGAAAGCTGAGAGCAGCGAAGGCCTGTGTCAGGAGGTCAGCAGACCAGCAGACCCGGCCAGAGGAAACTGTGGCTGCTGGCCATCCTGCCTTCAGTTCTGGGAGTTACAAGCCACATGCTGCTTCTGGTCTTTTTTGTTTCTTGTTTGTTTGTTTGTTTAAATATATTTTTATTCATTTCAGAAAAGAAGGGAGCGGGAGAGAGAGATGGAGATATCAATGATGAGGGAGAATCATTGATCGGCTACCTCCTACACGCCCCCCACTGGGGATCAAGCCCGCAATGTGAGCATGTGGCCTGACTGGGAATTGAACCACGAGCTCTTGGTTTATAGGATGGTGTTCAACCACCGGGCCACTGAGTCTTCTGAGACCCAAAGTTAATAAAGATTGATGCAAGTGCATAATCTTTATTGCTCTCAAGCCCATAACCAGTGGAGCCTGAGTGTGGCTACTGGTAGAATAAGTCCCAGTGAAAGAACATTCATTCCCTCTATTCGTTCTCCCATTGTCTGTGCCCTGCTTTGTAACCAGTGCCACCTCTCACTGCTCTCTCTCAGACTTACTTCCAGTTCCAGATCAAGAGCTCCTTCCCTCTGCCACATGCTGACGCTTGCTCAACTAGTGATCCTGACGCCAAGCTTTCCATTTCTCACATCTCCTAATTATTTGGGACGTGTTGAAGGATCCATTTGATGATAAGGAATAACCTCACATGATCCCACTCAAGATTTTAGAATCTCATGGGGGGAGGAGGGGAGATATTGCTTATGGAGGCAGTGTTTCTCCCAAGGCCCAGCAGTCTATGTGCACTACACATGAGCCGAGGGCATGGCGCATGCCTCTGCCTCCTCGTGGACTGTAGAAAGAGGTAAGAGTGGGACATCTACCGCCCCCCACAGGAGGTAGATTTGGAATGGTCTGGCCCCTGAGCATTCTGGGTACCCCACAAATGTCTGAGTAAGAGAGGGGCTGTCAGCATCAGCAGAAGGAACACTGGGAGAGAAAAGGGTGCCATTTGGACAAAATTGCTTGTGGTTCTTGTCTATGAGAGGGCTGCTTTCCAGTCCTGTTATTCTGTGTCACCTTCTGCTCCTCCGTCCCAACTCTATTTGCCAAATACCTCAAGACGTTTCTAAGAGGTTCTGAATTATCGAGGAACCTGGGGAAGATGCTTTGGAAAAAGTAAGTGCAAAAACAGACAGCCCTGTACAGCTGGTGCAAACACTTGGTCACTGGCAGTTTCTTTCTAAGGAGGAAAGAAAATGGGGGGGAGAGGGGAGAAGCCAGCCTCTGCTAAATAATAATGAGGTTCACAGAACAACAGACACAGCAACTCCAAAGTTCACATCTCCCCAGCTTTACTCACCCCTAGCCATCTTGCTCCTTTATTGGCAGCCTGTTGAATCTGGACTCTTTTCAGGGTGACATGGTAAACAGCTCCTTCCTCTACCTCTTCACCCCAGTCCTGAATCGAGCTCTACCAGGGGATGGGAAAGAGAAAGAAAAAGGTTTTTTGTTTTGTTTTGTATTATTGTCCGCCCCCCTCGCTGCAAACCACAATCTCTCCCAGCTGCTTTGCTGCTTACCCCAGCACTCAGGGCAAAAGACAGGCTGTTCAAAATAAATATTCCAATCAGAGCCATGCAAGACACATTGCGATAAAGGGAATGCTGAGATTTTCTTGGCCCCCGGCCCTTTCCTGTGGTATCAGGATCCCCGGACTTTTCCACTTAGTTCTTTTCCTAGACTCACTCACAAATTTTTTAAATAATTTTTAAGGTGTGTGTGTTTTATTTTTGTGGGGTTGTTGTTGTTGTTTTTTTCTTCTTAAAGAAACTGTGGTTTAGTCCTGATTAACTTTTCCTCCTTAAAGGAAAGGAAAAAAAACACTAAATCATTGGTAGAAAAGAAGTTTGTACTTTCAGAAGTGGTTCGGGGATTTGGGCGAACTGCACTTTAAAGTCAGACACAAACGAGCATTTAAAACGCCAAGGGCCCTGACGCTTTGGGAAGTCAAACGCTCCCCATCGCCTTTTTCTCCTCTGATTGTTGGGGGACCCAAAAAGTTAGCGGGGCGGGGGGTGGAAAGTTTTGATTTCCATAAAATCATCTGGCAAGTGCAGAAGAAGCGACACATCATCACGCAGCTTCTAGTAAAACGTGTGCACGGACTCCCGGGCTGGGCTTCCAGTCTGGGTTCGAGAGCCGCCGCGCACAGAAGCGCTCCGCGGCTCACCCAGACTCCGTCTCCTTCCAAGTTGTCCCTTCCGGACCTACATCTGCCCAGACACACCGAAGGCAAGTGCCCAGCGAGGAGGACCCGGACAGGGAGCAGCCCCGCAGCTCGGAAGGCACCCGGCGCGGAGCAAGAAAGCATTAGCGCCCAAGGAGGGACGGACACTCCGCTCACTCCGAGGGAGTCCCGATCGCGCCCCGAGAAAGCAGAGAGGCTGCCCCAGCAGAGCGGGGAGAGGAGGGTTCCGTTACCATTTTAGCTTGCCAAAGCAATTTCATTCTCAGTGTTCCCTCCGGTACGGGGACGCGGCATGGTGTGCCCTGCTCCCAGGCCAGCGGGGTCCCTGCGGGTTCCGCCCGGCGCCCCGGCCCCTCCGCTCCGGGCTCCGCGCTCACACACGCGCTGCGCTGCCCGCGCCGCCGCCGGTGACTCCGGCCACAAAGGCAGCGCGGCGAGCGAGGGAGCGAGGGCGCCGCAGACTCCTCCCCACGCCACTCCGCCACTCCGTGATGTCAGGCTTTCCTGTTTGTGCCTGGGAGCCAGGCTCCCCTCCTAAACCCCAGGGAGAGTTAGCGGGAAGGGCTCTCTCCGGCTCTGCAGGTGATCCGAATTCCCCCGTGGTCAGCCGGGGCCAGAAAAGGATCGGGTGCGGTATAGGGGACAGAAATGTGTCTCCCCCTCTCCGCTAAAAGAAATAGAGGAGGAGTGCAAGAAAGAAGGTGGGGGGAGAGGATTGGAAAACATGTTATCTGCCTGTTACCTATAAGATGTCCATTAAATCTGAGCGACCCCAATGAGTGAAGCAATACTAGAATGCAGAAAGTTTTTTATTAAGGGGGGAAAAAAGGAAGGAAAAAGGAATTGTTCAGAGGTTGTATTATATACAAAACCTGTGCCCGGGGTATGAACCCTGGTCCGAATCATCATTCTACACACAGGAAATTACTCTGGACTCTACCACCCATTACAAACCATAGGTCATCCCACAGTACCTGGCCGTCGTGGGAGGGAAGGCAGAAAGGGTTTTGCTGGGACTGAGTGAGTGGAAAGTGGGCGGGCAGTGGCCCCTGGGGCAAGTTTTTGTGAACTGTCCCCACCTCCAGTGTCTGTACTGTGGGAGCACAGCAGGATAATAACCACAGGGGAAAAGCCATTCATGGAGAGCCTGCCAGGGGGAGTTTTGTCATAACAGAAAGATCTGCTCTCAGGACAAAAGATTATGGCCATTTTTAGACTCCACTGTTAATAAATCAACAGCAAGATACCAGATGACAATGCAATCAAACTTTGGCACATTGTGGAATTCCATGCCAATCATAAAACCTTTAGGGCTCATGCCATTCACCCCTAAATGAGTTTAATCGCCTTTGGTGTGTTTTTTAAAGATCGCTCACGAATTGCCATGGTAAGCATAAGGTAGGCTCTGGTTAATAATAAATGTAGCACGAGCTGTTGGAAAAGCTAGAGCCTCAAGTGGTTTGATGTTCCCAGGAATGCAGAATAAATGACACAGTGCATCAAGGAAAAACAAAAGGACATTAGGACACTTGAGGACATCTTGAAGTCACTCAGCCAAGGTCTCCTCTCCTAACCAGAACCTCCAGGGCTCAGTAACTGTGGAGGCAGGAAGACCAGATCCTTCTGTGAGCACCAGGACAAGGCCCCCAGAGTCCTGAGGAAAATCATGTGGCAGCCCAACCTCCTGCTTCCTCAGCCATCCTCAGGCCCCAGGCCACCCCTGGAAAACCTAGTCAGTGATTCTGAAGACCACAATGGCCCTGAGGACGGCTCAGCCGGGAATTAACTTCACCATCGCTGTGAATTTAAAGATCACTCAAGATTATCAGGGATATCAAGCCCTTTCTTTGCCCTCGCCCCTTCCAGGAAGCCTTCCTGGACAGGGAAGCTAATGGTAACTCAGGTCTCACCACCTTCTCCCTGGCTGGCCACCTGGTGGGGAAAGAGAAAAGGACAGTCTCCGAGCAGATCCAGCTTCAGAACCACGCTCACATGAGGACAGAACTTTGGCTCTACTTCCCTGAGCTTTAATTTCCTCATCTGCAAAGTGGGATGAACATCTACCTCACAGCGTTTGAACAGGATGAAATGAAATAGGTTTGCAAGCCTTCTAGCACTTGGTAAATGATCAAAAAAAGTTCCATTCCCTTATTATTGCACTTCCTCCCAAACTGTATTTTCCCAGACTCGCTGAAGTTCTGTATGTATGCCATGTGGGGAAATCTAAAGTGATGTCTTCTCGCAGAAGTTATCATTTCAGAGAGGTTTTCCCAAGGATAATTATTTGTATTTATGCCTGATAAAGAATGTGATTTTGTCCAAATGCTGATTAAAAAAAAAAAAAAAAAAAGGCTGGTTGTTGGTTTTTTGTTGTTATTGTTAATCCTCTCCTGAGCATATTTTTCCATTGATTTTTAGAGAGAGTGAAAGGGAGGCGGAGAGACAAAAAGAGAGAAACATCAATGTGAGAGAGAGATATCGATGGGTGGCCTCCTGCACATGCTCCCACCGGGTGGGAATGGGATCCCAACACAGGTACCTCCCATGCCCCTGTGCTCTTGACCAAAATTGAACCTGCAACCCTTCAGTCCATGGGCTCACGCTTTATCCACTGAGCAAAACTGGTTTTACGCTAGATAGCGCAATCTAGTATTGCAATTTATAATTTTTAAAAGATTTATTTTTAAAGATTTCACCTGCAGGCAACTCAGTCATTGTTACCTTCTTATACATACCTTTGGGTGGAACACTCCTAGTCAATATGTGGGAAGGATAAACCAACAAGTCATTTATAACTAAGTTTGAATTTATTTACCAAATTAGTGTCTCCATCACCTACCACAGTGGTCAGGAAACTCATTAGTCAACAGAGCCAAATATCAACAGTACAATGATTAAAATTTCTTTTAAGAGCCAAATTTTTTAAACTTAAACTTCTTCTAACACCACTTCTTCAAAATAGGCTCGCCCAGGCCGTGGTATTTTGTGGAAGAGCCACACTCAAGGGGCCAAAGAGCCGCATGTGGTTCTCAAGCCACAGTTTGCCGACCACGGACCTAGCATGATCCTAAGAAAGCAGGTCAAGTTTTATTAAAAGGAGATCAATAATATTTTAAAGTTTTTAGTGTACAAGTCTCTGATCTCCTTGGTTAAGTTACTCCTAAGTATTTTATTCTTTTTGATGCTATTGTAAATGGGATTTTCTTAATTTCATTTTCATTGTTACAGAAATGCAATTGCTTTTTATATATTGACTTTATATCCTATAATTTTACTGAATTCATTTATTAGTTCTAACAGGTTTTGTGGGGATACAAAAAATGTGGAGTAACATCTGTAGGTCTCATACTTTGTTATTTCAAAACAATACAGAGCTACTGTAATCAAAACAGTATGGAACTGGCATAGAGACAATCATATAGACCAGTAGAAACTAATAAAGAGCCCAGAAATAAACTCATGCATCTATGAATAACTGATCTTTGACAAGGGAGCCAAGAATGCATAATGGGGAAAGGATGGTTTCTTCAACAAATGGTGCTGGTAAAATTGGATATCCAAACAAAAGAATGAAATAAGACACTTACCTTATACCATACAGAAAAATTAATTCAAATGGATTAAAGACTAAAACCCAAGGCCTGAAAGTGTGAAACTCCTAGAAGAACACACAGGAGAAGCTTCATGTCATTGGTCTTGGCAGTGATTTTATGGACATAATACCAAAAACATCGACAACAAAAGTAAAAATAGACAATAAGACTAGGTCAAACTAAAAAGCTTCTGCACAGCAAAGCAATCAACAGAGTGAAAAGCAACCTATGATATGGGAAAAAATATTTGCAAATAACAAATATAATAAGGAGTTAATATTTGCAAATAACAAATATGATAAGGAGTTAATATCCACAAGGAACTCCTACAACTCAACAGCAAAAAAAGCAACTGTACTTTAAAATAAGTAAAATACTTGAGTAAATATTTCTCTAAAGAAGACATACAAATGGCCATCAGGTATATGAAAAGGTACTGAATATGGCTTATCATCACAGAAATGCAAATCACAACCACAATGAGATATCACCTCACACCGATTAGGATGGCCATTATTTTTTTTTAAATGTTGGCAAGCCCGGCTAGCATAACTCAATGGTTGAGCATTGACCTATGAACCAGGAGGTCACAGTTCAGTGCACATGGCTGGGTTTTGGCTCCTTCACCAG